GTCACACCTGCCGACAGGAGGGGAGTACAGCCAGGCCCAGAGAACTCCCGAGAAAATTGCCCTGGTGATTCTTGTTCCCAATGATTTAGAAGGTCCTGGATGCAATGAGACTACAAATAACAGTAGCTTAAGCAGGGCCATCCACCCTGGCCGCGGCACCTGCCGACTGTTTCCTCTCGCCAGCCTGACTGTGCCCGCACCTCATGACCCAGCACTGCCCGTCTGGGTGAGGACGAGGAGGCTGGATCCTCCTCCCTCTAGGGATAACCTGTGAGTGATGGCTGTCACATGGACCCAGCTCGCCACAAGGGCGTTTGGGATTTTTTTTTTTTTTTAATGCTCGGTGGTTCTCTAGCTGGGACAAATGGAAGTTGGGGGGCTTAGGAGCAGCTGCTGAGTCCCACGGGCGACCTGGGAGGACCCCGATGGCCAAGGTGTGCGTGTGCTGAGTGTTCTGGGCGGGAAGCCTGTGCCAGGACGGTTCCCCTCGCGTGGTCTCGGGAGATCGGGAGCAGGAGTGAGGGGCCATGGTGTGCCGGTGCCGGGGTGGGGAGCAGCTGCATCCCCGCTGCTTCTCCAGTAAAGCTTTTGGTGGCCACTGGGGCCTCCAGCCGCTCTGCCCCAAGACGCTGCCCGGAGGACACATCCCTGCCAGCCACTTCCTTTGTCTATATACCACTCATCCTGTGTCCCTCTCAAGGACCCTGGTCATGGTTAGGGGCCCCCCAGGGTCATCTTCCACCTTGGGCCCCTGACTCAACCATATCCGCTGAGTCTCTCTTGCATAGGAGGTGAGGTCCTCCCAAGTGGCCTCAGCGGCCTGGGCCAGCCAGGAGCCCGTTCCAGGTCTCCCACATGGGTGCAGGGGCCCAAGCACTTGGGCCATCCTCCTCTGCCTTTTCAGAGTCATTAGCAGGCAGCTGGATGGGAAGTGGAGCATCCGGGACGTGAACTGGTGTCCATGGGGGAGCCAGCCTGCAGGTGGTGACGTGGCAATGTTGGCTTTGAGACACTTGTCTGGAAGCAGTCTCTGGGAATAAGGTCGGTCTGTCTTCATTCTGACCCGCCCACACCACCCATCCTCCTGGGCAGGGATTGGCTGAGTGGCGAGGGGTGCTGGCCAGTGAGAGCCGAGGGGATGTTTTGGGGAAGCTGGCTTCCTTGGAGGTTCCTCCTGGCAGGGGCAAGGGGCAGGCCGAGCAGGCCGCAGTGGCCTCCAGGTCAGAGCCTGGATGTGATGGCGGGTATGGGGCCACTGCTGGGTGTCCCCGTGGCATGCTGCAGGACAGAGCAGAGCTGGACCAGGAGGACGGCAGGCCAGGTCCTGTGTTCCGTTCCAGGCAGGTGGTGGTGTCCGGTGGTGCCTGTGCCCAGGCAGGTGGTGGTGGTGTCCGGTGGTGCCTGTGCCCAGGCAGGTGGTGGTGGTGTCCGGTGGTGCCTGTGCCCAGGCAGGTGGTGGTGGTGTCCGGTGGCGCCTGTGCCCAGGCCTCAGCACTCATGCCCGCCTGGCATGTTTCTATGTACCCAGCCCCTCGCTTTGTGATTGCAGCTCATTCTTGAAAATTCTCTCAGCAAACCAGGAACCACATCGTTTCTTTTTTCCTTGAAAACATTTTAGTATATTTTCAAAACATACCTATAATTTACATTTCTCTATATTTTTGTAGATTTGTTCAAGAGGCCCATGCATGTACACACATACACATGAGCCCGGGTGGGAGTGCAGAGGAGCCGCGTCCTGGGCTTTCCTGCCTGGGCAGCCCAAAACTCTGTCCAAGATCTTCCGTCCGCTGATTCACTCCCCAAGTGTGCGCAATGGCCGGTGCTGAGCTGATCCGGAGCCAGGAGCCAGGAACTTCCTCCAGGTCTCCCACACTGGTGCAGGGTCCCAAGGCTTTGGTCCGTCCTCTGCTGCTTTCCCAGGCCACAAGCAGGGAGCTGGATGGGAAGTGGAGCTATTGGGATTAGAACCAGTGCCCATATGGGATCCCAGCGTGTTCAAGGCGAGGACTTTAGCTGCTAGGCCACGCTGCCGGGCCCCTGCTCCTTCATTTTCAAGTGCATAATTCCAGTGGCCATTTTGTAGTGTTGAGTGACAAGCACTGTCATCTGATTCGAGAACATTCCAGGTTCTGGAACATTCTAGAACATTTGCCTACCACCCATTGATTGGCTGCTGCTTCCGCCAGGCCGTGTTCACTGCCTCCATGGATTTGCCTGTTCCATTCTCCTCCCCCAGGTGATGGTTGCATTATTCTTTGCCGTGGGACCGGCAGCTGCAGATGGACACGCTGTGCCTCCCACCCACGGGCTGCTGCCCTGGGCATTCAGACCCTGCCCTCCCTCCCCCCAAGGTGTCCGTCGGGGTGGGATTCCTGGGTCAGTGCCTCCTTCTGTTAGCCCAAGTTAGCCTGCAGCTGCACAGGCATAGCCAATGGTTGAGATCCCAGCCTCTCCCATGCAGTAGGAGCCGCCGTGCCTCACAGGAAACTCCTCACCCCTTCCCCAGGACAGGCATTTCAACCCCAGCTACTGCGTGGGGTATGTACAAGACCCATCCCTGGGCGCCGACATGGTGGCTTAGCCGGCTAATCCTCTGCTTGCAGGGTCAGCATCCCATAAGGGCACCAGTTCGAGTCCTGGCTGCTCCACTTTCTATCCAGCTCCCTGCTTGTGACCTGGGAAAGTAGAGGAGGTTGGCCTAGGGCCTTGGGCTCCTGCACCCACGTGGGAGACCTGGCTTCAGACAACAACAAACTCTAGCTGTTGTGGCCATTTGGGGAATGAAGCAGCAGATGGAAGACCCCCCATCTGCTGTTTCTCCGTAACCGATTCTCCAGTAACATAAATAAATCTCTAAGAAGAAACGACCCCTCCCAAGGTCCAGGGGGCCACAGTCTATGCCTGGCTGTGTGCAGGGTGACCGTGGATGGACCGTGCTGTGGTAACTACATTGAGAGGGCTAAATTACAGCACAGACCGCCCCTCCCCCAGCATGGCAGCATTCAGGGGCCAGGTGCCGCCCAGAGGGGCCTGGGGGACGGTGTCCTGCCCACTGTGGGGCAGCGGGTGAAATACTGCTGGTGGTGCCGGTGTGCCCTATATCCGGATTCCTGCTGACACACCTGGGAGAGCAGCTGAGTGCTTGGGCGACCCTTGTGGGCGACCCGTCTGGAGCCTTCTCACTCCTAGTGTCCACTTGGCACACCCCCCAGTGGCTGTTGCAGCCATTTGAGGAGTGAAGCAGCTCATGGAAAAATTGTTTCAATTAAAGAATAGAAAAATAAATAAATGGAAAGTAGCTGGGAGCTGGCACCCCCCCCCCCCGGGTTGGCACCTTCCCTGTCCCCCAGGGCACACACCGGCCCCCTGGGCAGCAGCTTGGGGCGGGAGGAGGCGGGCAGTGGGGGGATCGCAGGGGAATCGGGCTGCAGCGGGAGGGGGGTCTGGGCTTGGGATTGACTCAGGATCTGTTACCCTGGAGACTCCCAGGAAACACGGAGCACGTGCGAGTCAGGGGATGGCCCAGTGGTGGGGCGCTCACAGTCACGGTGGTCTGCACCACTGCCCTGGGAGGGGGCGCAGGTAGCAGCTGGCCCCAGCGGGGTGAGCTGGGGCTCTGGTGGATCCCAGTTGCAGCAGTGGCCGTCCGGAGCTGTCCTGGACCATGACCTTGATGGGCTGCTGGAGGCTGTGGGCGGAGCCTGGGACCGTGGGCGGAGCTTGCAGGCTGTGGGCGGAGCTGGTAGCAGCCCACCTGCGGCCTCAGAGAGCTGCATTTTCACATCATAATGCCATGGTGTTGCACTATGCAAATCCCTGAGATCCCATGGGGGATGGGGTGTGTCCCGAGGGGAGGGGGCTCTGTCCTCATCACTGCTGCGGTGCAGGCGGGGACGCCCCCGGGCTCAGGCTCTGTAGGCTGATTTCGGTCGTCTCCGCGGGGCTGTAACGGACATCCTAGAAAGGGGACACTGTGTTAACCGGCGAGGGGTGGGGGGGGGTGGGGGTGGGCCCTGGCAAAGGAAACCAGATGAGATCCCCCCCCCCCCGGGGTCCAGCAGAGGCCCAGCTTTGTCTATCCTGCTGTCCCACAGCCAGGGTTGGGGTCACATAGGTGGGTGGGGTCAGGAGAGGGTGTTTACTTAAAATGCTGATTCCTAACTGGGGCTCGAGGCCCTGGAGGGAGATGGGGTTATAGGGACCCCGCCTCAACCCGGGGGGCCCGGGCTTTGGACTGATCCACCCCCACTTCTCCTGGGCACTCACCCCATTGGCGGAAGACTGGGTGCCACCTGCGGGCACAGAAAGAGACTTGGTCAGGTGGGAGAGGCTGCACCAGGAAGCCTGCCCCCCATCCCTGCCAGTGTGGGGCCAGGGCCCCTAAGTGACTGAGAGGCAGGGACTCTCATATGGGTACCACTCCCCGTCACACGCGTCAGAGAGGTGGGGCTCCGATGAAGGTGTCGGCACCCTCATATCTATAAGCAGGGGTTGGGCCGACGCCTCGCGATGCACTTCAGATGCCGTGTCTGTGCTTTGGGAGCCGTTGACCTCAGCCCTGGGACGTCACCTCGCTGTCTCGGCCTCCTCAGCTCTCCCACGGGTGTGAAAGCCTTGGTGACAGCCGCAGCGGAGGCTCGAGTCCTTGGGTTTCTGCCATCCACGGGGCCATCCCAGACGGAGCCCCCCAGCTCCTGCCTTTAGCCTGGCCCTGTTGTGGCAGCTACAGGCATCTGGGGAGTGAAACACGCACACACACACACACACACACACACACACACACACACACACACACACGCACGGCTACTTGCTCACTCCCCAAGGTCAGAGTGGGGAACCAGGAGCTCGTCAGCGTCCCCCAGGAGAACAGCCGGCAGGGCCCGAGGACTTGAACTGTGGTCACGTGCTGCCTCCCAGGGCAGCCCATTCGCAGGAAGCTCCGTTGAGAGCAGAGCCGGGCTTCGCACCCGGGCATTCTGAGGCAGGATGTGGTACCCTCACCCGATGCAGCAGACCCCGCCCTGGCCCGATGCGGGGCTTGGGCCGCCAGCTCGCGCCACTTCTTTGCGGGGCTCCCTCTCCGGGTGAACTGCAAGAGGCTGGCGCTGGGTGTGCACCTGCTCACCAACCCCGAGTAACAAGCCCGAGTTCTTGACCCCGCGTGGTCTCCCTTCCACCCCACACCCCGGCTCTGTGGAAAATGAATCAGTGCAACAGTGGGTTTTGCGTGGTTTCCTGGGAAATGGTGGAACCCCATGGTACGCTGAGGCTGCACAGGATGGGGGTGCACGGGAAAGGAGGGACTCACGGGAAGATCTGCATTTCCAGTACACGATGAAGGCCAGGATCAAGATGATGCCGCCGATGCCGCCGATGCTGCCGCCGATGATGGTGCCGATGCCACCGGACTGGTCCTTAGATGGGGTTGCTGGACGGCAAAGAGGGCACGTGTGTCGGGGTGAGGAGGCCTCTGGGGACGGGCACCCGCGTTTTCTCTAGGAAGCTGCCTCCCCGCAGCGGTCTCGATGGTTGGGGTGGACCTCCCTGGGCTCTCGGGTTCTGGGATGAGTTTCCGACTCAGCCCTGGCTAAACAGAACGTCCCAACCTCCTGGCTGCTGTGATTGGTTCCTGGAGCCGGGCTCTGGCCCACGTTGGGCCAGTGAGCTGTGAGCCCGTGGTGGCTGTGGCAGCTGGATCTGCCGGTACCTCAAGGCGCTTCTATTTTACTTTATCTTGACCTTGCTTGGACACCTTGAGCTGTGCTTCTGTCAGCTGCAGGTGAATGAGTTCTGCCCAAGACCCTTGGAAGGGACTCAGAGGGGGGTGTGTCCAGACGGTGGATGGGGGGTTGGAGCTGACCCTTCTACTGAGAGGCCCTGGGGACAGGATGGGGGCACATGGCATCTGGTGGCTCCACACACAGACCCCCCCCCGCCGGCAGGGGAGCCCATGGCCTCCTCCTCTGCCTCTGGCCGCTTGGGGAGCCACTCACCTCTGAGCTGCGGGGTCAGCTCTCCGCTGCCAGTTCCTTGGGAATTAGTGGCTTGGCAGACAAACGTCTGGTTAGCGGTCTCATTCACTTCCAAGATCATAAGCAAGGGGCCCTGGGCCACAGCGGAGGGTGGCAGGGGCCCCGTGGTCCTGGAGGGAGCCAGAGAGAGAGGGGGTTAGGGTTGGCATGAGGAGTGGTCTTCCCCGGAGGCTCATGAGGTCAGAGTCCTAAGGGGCTTGCCTCAGCACCCGTGGGCAGTGCCAGCCTGCAGGCCCACGAGGTGCTGCCACTTTCCACTGAAAGCCACGTCCCACATTACTCCGTTTCTTGTAAGGTGCACAAAAGCAAAAGGAACTAAGCTAGGGCAACACATGGAAAGGCAGGGAGAGCAGATGCCCGAGGACCTGGGGCGTGAACCAGTGGATGGAAGACATGCCTTTCAAGTCTAGAAGAAAGCTGTTAGTGCAGTCAGTGCCGCCCTGACAGCCACTAGCGGCCTAAGACTCACAAGCCAGCCCAGCACCCACCACCTCTCACAGCCACATGGGAGCCCCCAGCCTCTGCAGCGCCCCAACCCTGACCTGGACCAAGCCGGCTCCCCACCTTCCTGAGCGCCTCCTTGTCTGATCTCGCCATGGCCACAAGAGGGCGCGCGAGAACCTGAAGTCAGCTCATGCCCCTCCTCTCTGCTCAGACTCCCATTACCCCGACCACCGTCCTTCACTGCGCCCACCCACCCACCCAAGCAGCCCTGACCACCCTCCTTCACTGCGCCCGCCCACCCAAGCAGCCCCGACCACCCTCCTTCACTGTGCCCACCCACCCAAGCAGCCCCGACCACCCTCCTTCACTGCGCCCACTCACCCACCCACCCAAGCAGCCCTGACCACCCTCCTTCACTGCGCCCACTCACCCACCCACCCAAGCATCCCTGACCACCCTCCTTCACTGCGCCCGCCCACCCACCCATCCAAGTAGCCCTGACCACCCTCCTTCACTGCCCCCCACCCATCCATCGCTGTTGCTCCCACAGCCTGGCCCAGCCCTGGCTGTTGCCGCCGTCTGAGCAGTGACCCAGCACATTGACACCTGTGTGCAAGGGGAAAGGCCCGGATGAGTGATGGAAATGCGTGGATCCCTAGGCCAGGCTCTTTGAGCTCCAGCCTCAGTAGGACTTGGCAGTGTGTGTGTGTGGGGGGGTCATGGGGGGAGCACTGAGCGGAGGGGACAGTAGCCACCCTGTGTGAGGTGACTGAGCAGGCTGCACCTGAGAGCTCAGAGGCCGGAGGTCTGGAATGTAAGACTGCAGCAACAGCGGAGACGGGCTGGGGTGGGGCTGGACTTTACTCGGGGCAGGGCGACCAGGGCAACCGACCGTGTGCAGGGAGGAGCTGACGCAGGGGCCCAGGGCAGTGCCGGGACTAACCACTCCACTGCTGCACAGCCTGCAGTCCCAGCCCACATCTGCCTCCTCCCTCACACCCAGGGGTGCAGCCCCTCCTCCCTCACACCCAGGGGTGCAGCCCCTCCTCCCTCACACCCAGGGGTCCAGCCCCTCCTCCCTCACACCCAGGGGTCCAGCAAGCCCCTCCTCCCTCACACCCAGCTCCGCCCAGCCCCGCCCTCTGACAGGACTCACGTGCTCCAGTTATAGCCCGTGGGCGCAGGGTTGCTGCGGACCTCACAGCGGAGGGTGACATTACGTCTGCCCAAGTACCAGTTGTCATCATAGCCAGAGATGGAGACCTCCGGGGGGTCTGGGGGTACAGGAGATGGACTCAGAGTCTCAGAGGTGCTTGGGGTGCAGGAGAGGGAGAGGCCTGCGGGGCGGGGTGGCCAGTGTAGACTGCGACCGGAGGTTCGGTGTGGGGAGGGGGGCCTGGGACGCTGCGCCGGGCAGGGACGACTGAGGGACGCGTGTAGACAGCTGACCTGGCCTGTGCAGGGGAGCGGGCAGCGTCAGAGTGTGTGTGTGTTGGGGGGAACTGTGTGCACGGTTCTCGGGGAGCCGGGGAGCAGCGCTGTTGGCCGTGGCCTATGCGGCCGCTCAGTGCTGTTTGTGAGCCAGGGAGCCGGTGTAGACCACGGGGCTGGAGGTGTGTAGGCGTCCTAGCCAGGAGAGCCAGCATAGAGCACAGGGTGGGCGGCAGGCGGCCTGGCCGGGGTTCCACTCACAGTGCACGGTCAGGGTCTTGGTCAGCAGGACAGGCTCCCTGAAGCTGTCATGCTGCACGACGCAGGTGACGTTCTGACCGTCCGCCTGGCTGGAGGGCACCAGCACGAGGTAGCTGGTGACATTGGTCGTGCCCAGCTCTAGTCCTGATGTCGGGATCCTGTTGTCTGTGGTGGCATTCAGGGCGGCGGGGAAGGTCCAGTTGATCCGGCTGGGCGGGCGGCCCCCGTGGGACATGCAGCGAGCCACAGCCACACGTTTTCCTGGGGGCAGGCTGGGCGGCGTTTCCAGGGCCTCAATTTTGTTCTGGGGCGTGGCTGTGGAGACACAGAGACAGTTACGGCTCCCATCTGCCATGAGGTCAGGCCCCCAGGCCCCCGGCGGCAGGGAAGGGATCAGGAAGGGTTCACATCCCAGCCTCGAGCCACTCCGATGATGGGGTCACGGGCAGTGCGGGATGCAGGTGGACTAGCCTCGCGGTGCAGCATGTTAAGCCCACGCCTGCAGTGCTGGCATCCTGCAGAGTCTCCGTGGTTTGAGCCCCAGCTGCTCTGCTTCCAATCCAGCTCTCTGATGAAGGCCTGGGAAGATGGCTCAAGGGCTTGGGTTCCAGCACCCACGTGGGAGACCCGGATGGAATTCCAGGCACCTGTCCCACCCCTGGCTGTTGGGGCCATTTAGGGAGTGAACCAGCAAAGGGAAGAGCTGGAGTTTCATCTTGTTCTCTCGATGTTTAAGATTTAGTTTATGCATTTGGAAGGTGGAGTTAAAGAATCTTCCACATGCTGGTTCACTCCCCAAATAACCACGATGGCTGGAGTTGGACCAGGTCAAAGCCATGTGGGTACGGGGGCCCATGGCCTTGGGTCATCCTCTGCTGCTTTCTCAAGGGCATTAGCAGGGAGCTGGATGGGAGGCAGAGTAGCCGGGACTCGAACCCCAAACCCCACTGCAGAGCTGGACTCTCCAGCAGCAGCAGCCTGGGCTGTTTTCTGGGTCCTGCATCCCTCACTTCCTTCCCCCCTTGTCACCACGGCCCACCGCCCACTTCTCCTTCCTTTGTCTCACTGTCACGGTCTCCTGGTCACCCCCAATCCATAAAACTCTAGCTTCCCTGGGACAGCCGGGGGAGCCCTACTCCGGGGCCCCGTGCACACCTGCTAGCACTCGGAGCCTGCCAAGCTCCTTTCCTGCAGGCTTGGAGAGACTTATGGCTCTCACAGCCCTGGCCTGGCCTTGGATGAAGTGGTAACTCAGCAGTTACTGGGCACCAAACAGGAATGTGAGGGGTGGGAGGCTGGGTAGGTCTGGGGTGGGGTGGGGATGCACAGCAAGGATGCCAAGATCTGACCCAATGGAAAAAAAAAAAAAAAAAGAATCCTTCCTGAGGACCTGGGTGGGTGTGGACTTCCTGCCTTGGAAGGAATCACCAGGCCAGCCACAGGAGGGCTCCGGGAACAGGGCCTCTGCCCCTTACACAGGGTCCCGCAGTGCCACCAGCTCAGCCCCAGAGCTGCACTGGCAGCCATCCAGAATAAAAGAGAGAAGACCTCCAGTCCTGACATTTCATAGTGACAAGTCTCCTGGATGCTCAGAGAGTGAGGGTCCCCACAGCCCCAAGTCCTGCAGGAGGCGAGGAGGGGCCGGCCACACTCTGCGTGGGGGGAGAATGAACCCCTGAGCCGGCCTGGGGGATCCAGGATCCCTGGCTTTCCAGTTGGTTCTGTTTCTGCGCTCTCCATCTCTGCCGGGTCCCTGCGTGCACGCACTTCATGCTGAAGGCTTGGGATGGGACCATGGTCCCCATACGCAGTTCAGAGGAGGCCCCCCCGAAACAAACAGGACCCACCACTGGCCTGGGAGCAGGGCTGCCTCCCGCAGGATGCCCCTATCCGCCCCAGCTCCCTGCTGCTCACCCAGCACCCGAAGCCCGATGCGCTCGCTTTTGCTGCCCTGAGGGAACCTGGCAAATTGGCAGGTGTAATTAGCTTCGTCCACAGCGCGCAGCTCAGACAGCAGCAGTGACGCGTTCCACACTTCCACACCGGGCTTGGAGGCCACGAACTTCACCCGTTCAGAGTCTGACACGCTGGCGCCCCGGGAAGAGTGCCATACGGCAATGTTGAGGACATCCCCGTCCGGCTCATGTCGCATCCAGGTCACCTGGGTGAGATGCGTGTCCGCCTCCAGAGGCTGGGAACAAGGCAGCACCACGGTGTCACCCAGGAAGCCCTGCACCAGCTCGGACGCCTGCACGGCGCTGGTCTTGATCCCTGTGGAGGCTGGGGAAGAAGCAGAGCAGGGGTGAGGGGGAAAAGGGGAGTGCCAGTGAGACGCGCACCCCCAGAACGCATCCAGAAGCAAGGGCGCCCGAGGCTTGTACCTGCACGCGTGGGGCCTGGGGCCCCCAGGGAATGGGGAACCAGGTGGAATTGCGGTATGTGAGTGGGAGGTGTAAGCCGTCATGTGCTGCAGGGTAGCTCTGATGACTGTATTTCCTGCTATTGCTGTTCTTTCTGGATCTCACAGCCACTGATTTTTTTAAGCTCCTGTGAGATTTCAGTGGTAGCTAAGTACGCGAGCCCGCTCCTGCAACGGCATCGAATGTGAGACCCCGGCCAGGGACACGTGTCAGCCCTCGGGAACATTCAAACGCCTCAGGTGGCACCTTCTTAATTAAGGTCCTGGAGCAGGTGTGGAAAGGGTTAAGCTCTCTGAACTCCAGCCCTAACCACTCCCTGCCCCGCGCGAGCTTGTGGGCCAGTGAGTCCATCCTGTGCACCTCCTCAGGACCTCAGGGGCGGCTGTGGATGCAGTTCCACACCCAGGAAGCCCTTCAGCTAGGAGACGGGGGACCCGGGGGTGGGGAGGGTGTGATGGCGACATGGGGGACTCATACCCCATGCATACTTGGCTCAGGTCGGGTCTGAGTGCAGGCTGGGTGCCCAGTCCGCCCCTCCCTATCTGACAGGTGCTTCCTCAGCTCCGTCCTAGGATAGGCTGCCTACCGGGGCGGCGGGGCTCAGACCTGAGGACCCTGCTCCCTCTTTCCCCCTTCCCAGGGAGGGTCTCCCCAGTTTCCTGGGCGGAGGGCCAGCTTCCCGCACCAGCTCTAGCCCCAAGCACTGGCACTGGTGACTTCAGTCAGCGACTCTGCCGGCTGTCCCACAGCCAAGAACTGTATCATCCAGGGAGGGGTTCTGGGTCGGGGGTTCATTCCCCAGCTCCAAGCCCAGTTCACTTCCTCTTGGAGAGGCCCTGAGCGTTCCGTGAGTCACCTCTCCCGCTCTCCGGCGGCTTCCCCAGACTTGACTCCATTCTCGCCCCAAACAGACACTCACTTAGCTTCTCCAAGGATGTGCAGTTTGGATTTGCAATTCTTCCCACCCCCTCCGTCGGGCAGTAAAACCCGTGTGGTGGAGCGCGGAGACTGTCTATGAATGAATGTATAAATGGGATGGCTAGATGGCCAAGTGATCAGACTTTCGGGCTCGCAGCCAACTCTTTTCGCTTTGCCATCTCCGTCTTCCCGGCGGGTGAGAAGTGAGACTATCCCAGCCTGACTTTTTTTTATCCCCGTTCGGAAAGGGCCCCTAAAGGGCTTTCCTAAACTTCACCAAGTATCTGAGGCGGCCGCTGAGCGCGCGGGTTCCGCGGCGCTCCGAACACCCCAACGCCGTCCCGTCCCCCTTTAGTCCCGCGGCGCACCCCCACCTCGATCCCGGCCACCCCACCCGGGCCCGAGGGAGCAGGTGGGCTGCAGCGCAGTGGCCTCAGCAGCCCTCGGGGACCTTGGGGTCACTCACCGGTGCTCAGCGTGCAGCAGGACAGCGCCAGCAGCCACCACGCCCACCGCGCCCATCGCGGCCACTGCGGCCTGGAGGCCACGGCTCGCGCCATGCCGCCGTCCCCGGGGAGGTTTCTGCTCCTCTTACGCGCCGGTGGTTTCTGCTCCTCTTGCTCCGGTTCCCTGGAGGGCTTCTGCTCCTTCGGCTCGAGAGAAACCGTCCAGATTAAGCCCCGCCTTGCTGGGCGCGGAATATTGCTTGCGCACCGATAAGCGCCCCGCCCTCACTTCCGCGAGCCCGGCTGTGGGCTCCTGGGGCGGTGCTTTGCAGGCACACCCCTTCGCCCAGCGCTCCTGCCGCCCTCCGGCCTTGCAGTCCGGGGAATCCCGGGCTTCCAGAATGCGCGAATTTATTTCCCCCCCTCCTGGGAGATTTGCTTTCTCAACTGAGAAACGGGTGTGTGGATAGCAATAACTTCCCAGGGCGGTTTGGGAGGTTCAAACAGGAAAGTGCTTTTTTAAAAAAAGGTTTTCTTTGATTATTTTTATTGGAAAGGCAGATTGTATTTGTGGAGAGGAGGAGAGACAGAAAGCCTCTTAGACCTCTGCTGGTTCACCTGCCAAATGGCCATAACAGCTGGAGCTGAGCTGATCCAAAGCCAGGAGCTTCTTCCAGGTCTCACACAGGTGCAGGGTCCCAAGGCTTTGGGCCGTTCTCCACTGCTTTCCCAGGCCACAAGCAGGGAGCTGGATGGGAAGTGGAGCAGCCAGGACACGAACTGGCACGCAGAGGGGATGCCTGCTCTTGCAAGGTGTGGATTTAGCTGTTGAGCCATCATGCAGGACCCCAGACGAAAATGCTTTACTGCAGTTCCCAGAAGAAGGTTTGCACGTCAGTGGGCAGCCCCTGCCGTGACAATGGCCATTAGTCTAGCTTTGCCCTGGTCATCGTGTTCATCAGACAACACATACCGCCGGGAACCAGTGGCATTCTGGGTAGGCTGGGACAGACAGCAGCAAATGACGGACGCGAAGCAGCTCTCCCTGTGTGCGCTGGCGCTGTGCGTGAAACTGCAGTGTGGGGGAGCCAGCATCCCATATGGAGTCCAGTTCAAGTCCCGGCTGCTCCACTTCCCAAGTAGCTCCCTGCTAACACGCCTGGGAAAGCAGCAGAGGGCGGCCCAAGTGCTTGGGAAACCTGCACCCACGTGGGAGACCCGAGTGGAGCTGCTGGCTGTGTTAGGGCCGTTTGGGCAGTAAACCAATAGACGGAAGAACTGTCAGCTTCTTTTTAAATTGATTATTTTGAGCCTGGCAAGATGGCATAGTGGCTAAAGTCCTCCCCTTGAACGCACTAGGATCCCATATGGGTGCTAGTTTTAATCCAGGCACCCCTGCTTCCCATTTGGCTCCTGCTTGTGGCCTGGGAAAGGAGTCGAGGACGGCCCAAAGCCTTGGGATCTTCCTCTCTGTCTCTCCTCTCTGTGTCTGACTTTGCAATAAAAATAAAATAAATCTTAAAAATTTGTTAAACAGATTTATGAGAAAGGCACAGTAACAGAGAGAGAGAAAAGGTGGCTTCACTCCCTAGAGAGCCACGTGGCCAGCAGTGGATTAGGCTGAAGACAGGAGCCTCTTCCAGGTCTCCCACGTGGGTGCGGGTCCCAAAGCTTTGGGCCATCCTCTGCTGCCTTCCCAGGCCACAGCAGGGAGCTGGATGGGAAGTGGAGCAGCTGGGACTTGAACTGGGTGCTGGCAGTATAGACAGCAGCTAAACACACTGTGCCACATCGCTGACCGCGTGACTCTGCCTTGGGATTCAATAAGGAAATCTTCGGTTTTTTTTTAAAGAAAAGATTTATTTATTTTTATTGGAAAGGCAGATATACAGAGAGAAGCAGAGACAGAGAAGATCATCTTCCATCCTCTGATTCACTCGCCAAGTGGCTGCAATGGCTGGAGCTGAGCCAATTTGAAGCCAGGAGCCAGGAGCTTCTTCTAGGTCTTCTAGGCAGGTGCAGGGTCCCAATGTTTTGGTCTGTCCCCTACTGCCTTCCCAGGCAGGAAGCTGGATGGGAAGTGGGGCCACTGGGATTAGAACCGGCGCATGCAATATGAAGACTTTAGCTGCTAGGCTACTGCACCGGCCCAATAAGGAAATATAAACAAACAAACAAACAAATAAATAAATAAATAAATTAGTGCCTTTGGGAAGGCCAGGTTCTCCTGGAGAGAAATAGATGTTACATTAGGAGTGTGTAGGGCTGCAGGCTGGTGGGGTTATGTATGGTGGCATGGGGAGAGAGGAGGAGGAGGGAGGCAGGAGAGAGAGAGAGAGACCCAGAGCCATTGCCTAAGTGCCTCTGAGGAGCCGGCTGGCTTCCAGCTTCCCCGTGTTGCCACACGTGCCAGGGCCTCCCGGAGTCTCCCGCCACGCCCCTGCTCGGGGAGCCCCTGGTTCTGCGCCTTCCCTGCTTGTAGGGGCCCTTTGTATTTCACCTGGTGGGGTGCTCTGCCCCCCATGCCTCTGTTGGGTACCCTGGAGCAGCTCGGCTGCCGGCCTGCCTCCCTGCGCGCGCAGCAGGGATTTCTGAATGGAATCGCGGGGCACACACTTGGAAATCTCTGAGTTTTCCCACATCCCCATTCTGCCCAGTGATTTCCGCACTGGGAACCTGTACTGATGCTCTTCCAGGGACCATGACGTCACCGTGGGCCTTTCCCCACTTCCCAGGCCTGCCTCTGCCTTCTGGCTGACCGGGGGCTGCCCCGCCCTTCCTGGGGCTTCATAGTTGGGCACCCTCCTCACCCGCTGGTCCCTGACTGCTTGGTGAGAAGCAGATGGCGTGAGCCTGAAATTGCCATTCAGTCCCTGGTGCTGGGCGATGCTGCGCCAAGCACTCAGGCTGTTGGTCAGGGATGGTCAAGTCAGGGTCAAGGGTCAAGAGGCCAGAAGGAGGTGAGGCTCAGCAGGTGTGTGGGGAGCGCTGATGGCCAATATTCTTGGGCCAAAACATAGAATCAGCAGGATCTGGGTCCCTGCTGCTGAATGGCTGCAGGAAGCGTCTTGCCAGGTGCCCGGATGATGGGAGAAGGGATGGTTGGGTTAGGTCTAGGAGCTGGATGGTCCCTCGTGGGACCCCTCCTCTTTCAGAGAGCCCGGCATGGGAGACTCAGCCACTAGACGCAGAACTGCGCCTCAGGTCAGGAGACAGTGACAGGTCTGAGAGCCTCCGTGCCAAGGGGTGACTTCCTCGGGGACGATGGGCTGAGGTGGCTATGCCAGTTCTGGGGGTGGGGGCGCCCCTCCATGAGTGGGAAGAGTCCGTGTGCCTTGAGGTCGGAGGAGAGGTTTAGCAGACGAAGGTGGGCTGTGGCTAGCCTAAGTGTACTTGAACTTTCTTGAGAAAGACCATGGCTGGAGACGCTGCTTCCTGCTGCCGACCGTGGCCGACCCTGCTGGATTCCTGGACGTGACTGAGACCTGGGAAGCCGTGAGCGCTGGAGAAGAACCGGGTTCAGGGGTTTCCCCTTCACCCACTGGCTCTGGGTTTACGTGTCAGGGTGGTGGCTTGGTCTGCCAGGCCACCGAGGGGAGAAGTTGGCTCATGAAACTTCCTGCTGACACACGGGCCCTGGCACGTTGACCATAGAAGGAGCCAGTTTTGTGTCTGCTCCAGGCTGGGTAGTCAGTATTGCAACTAGAACTGTAGGTGAAGCCTCTGCCTGCCATCCCGACATCCCCTTGGGGTGTTGGTTCAAGTCCCAGCTGCTCCACTTCCCATCCAGCTCTCTGCTGATGGGCTGAAGAAGCAGCAGAGGATGGCCTGGGACCTGGAGGAGGCTCTTGGCTCCTGGCTCCTGGCTTGGCCTGGCCAGACCTAGCTATGTGTTACTCTGGCTTTCAAAAAACTAAGTAAATTTTAATTGCATTTTTAGATTTAATTTAAAGGCAGAGTTAGATATATGACATATCATATTATCATACATATAATGCAATATGCATAATCATGTAATATTGCATTATTATATATAAAAGTATATTGTTTACAATATAATAGATTAATATACTATTATATATAATATATTATATATTTATAACCCTTTTGCTAGTTCACTCCCCTAATGGCCTCACTGAGAGGGAGCTGAGAGCTTCTTTTTTTTTTAAAGATTCATTTTATTTTAATTAGAAAGTCAGTTATACAGAGAGGAAGAAAGACAGAGAGGAAGATCTTCCATCTGTTGATTCATTCCCCAAGCAGCCACAACAGCTGGACCTGAGCTAATCTGAAGCCAGGAGCCTGGAGCCTCTTTCAGGTCTCCCACACAGGTACAGGGTCCCACGGCTGTGGAACGTCCTTGACTGTTTTCCCAGGCCACAAGCAGGGAGCTGGAAGGGAAGTGGGGCTGCTGAGATTAGAACTGGTGCCCATATGGGATCCCGGTGCGTGCAAGGCAAGGACTTGAGCCACTAGTCTACCACACCGGGCCCTGCTTGTTGAGTCTTAACCACCTTCTCAGGGCGCCACTCACATCCTTTCTCTTTCACCCTTCCTCTGACCCACGTGCCCTCACCGTGGCTCTTTGCATTCCACACTTTGCTTTTTCCCTTCTGAGTCGGCTGGGTCTCTCGGGGTCTGGTTTATCATGCTGAAATAGCCACCAAGTGACAGCATAGCAACAACGAAGAAGCACTGACACTCCAAGAAGGAGCTAAGGGACCTTTCAGGGCTGGCCCAGCGCTGCTGCCCCCCAGTCCCCCCACTGCCCTCCCCACTGCCCCTCCCCCACATCCTCCCCCACTGCCCTCCCCACTGCCTCCCTCACTGCCTCCTCCCCCACGCCCTCCCCCACTGTCCCTCCCCCATTGCCTCCTCCCCCACTGACCCTCCCCCACAGCCGCCTTCCCCGCTGCCCCCCAGCTCATCTTAATGACTGTGTTTCATCTCATGAGGCTTGGGGAGTTTGTCTGGGTCCCCAAAGGGCAAGGTGACAGCAGTTTTATCAGACAGACTTCCAAGGTCCCAAGGTCCAGTGTCATAGTACAAGGGGGTAAGCCACCACCTGCCGTGCTGGCACCTCATATGGCCACTAATTTGAATCCTGGCAGTTG